GGAATCCACAGAGCGGATGTTTCGGGCCATGATAAGTTGTGAGAGACGAGGCTTTGGGTGTTTTACGGCCAGCGCATTATTTACAGCAAAATAAATTGAGCTCTCTCGAGTTGACACTCTAGATCCTTGGCGTCTCGGAGATAATTAAAAGAAAAAAAAAAAAAACTTAAGGAGAGAAAAAGACGGCTTAAAGCTGGATGCGGAGATGTATTTGTCATACCATAAATACGACCGGTCCGGGCTCAGATCCATGCTAAATCATGTAATTTACAGAAACGCCTCGAGATAAAAGTGCAGATTACACTTCAAGTGAGTCAACGTCTAAGTCAGAGTGTGATTAGCCATCACTACTCCGTGTCAAAGCAGCAATGGCATAGTTCCGCATCTCCCCGCTAAGACCCAGTGGGAAGCTCGATGCGAGCCTCCAGTTTCTGCGGCTTTGTTTGACTTGATACAGCCAACCCCACTACCTTGCATGAACCAACTCGCATGTGTTAGCAAAGCGCATCACGAGTCATCATGGAATTTTCGGTTTCGCTGAAATAGGTTGACCGAATATAAAATCCAACATTTCTAGTAATCAGGTCACTATTAAACTTAATATCCAAGGTGAAGTCCTCAAGTCCTCCATGACAAAAAAAAAAGGCATAGATCTGCATCAAAGTCAGAACCTGATCCCGATCAACCTATTGAACGTTGTCGATCATGAAAATCACATGAACAAGAAAAAACCAAAACAACTGTGACATCATTGCGAAAACAAGGGTATCACATGACCGAATGTAGATCCTACAGGGCTGTCCCCAGATTTTCTCCAGATTTTGGGGATCGAGCTTCGGATAGCAAACCTCTCACTATGTCTACGGTGACACAAGTTGGAGGTGTTTGTGCTCCCTTCAACCCTTTGATCAATCCGGTAAATTCTAAGCCAGTCCTTGTGGAAGAGTAAGTCAAGCTGTTCCGCTCTGTAGAAATGACTGGAGAGCACAACGCGTTGTCTAGGGGCTTGATCGCTTACATGAGGGCGTACTTCAAATTCAAACCTGGCATTCTCCGTGATTGCCACGATTACCAGGATGACCCTATGCCCCATCCCACATTCTGCCCCGACCATGACAGTCCGGCTGACGTTTTGGAAGTCACATCGAGTCTCAACAGCACATCTTCCTCTCACGTCCTTACTTCGGCGCACTCCTATTTGAAAACAGCTCTTCCGACGCCCGCGACCACTGCGCCAACGAGCGGACTTTCCTTTCATGGCTCCGTCTGTCCATGTATTTGGCCGTTGTGTCGCTGGCCATCATCATCTCCTTTCATTTCCGCGAAAAACCCACTGGCCTTGAGAGACGCATGGCCTTACCTCTCGGGATAATTTTTTGGCTTCTGAGTTTAACCTGTTTGGCTAATGGGTTTGCGAATTACTCGCGCACGGTCAAGAAGTACGCGCGTAAGGCGGCTTTGGTGCAGAGTGGTTGGAAAACGCAGGTTGTCTTCACGGTGGTTGGGACGGTGATTTTGGGCAGTTGCATTTTGTTTTTGTCCACGGATCCAGCGCAGTAATGGCGACGCTGGTTTTTTTTTCAATTCATAAAACTAGCGCTGGCATTAGCATTGCTCTAAGAGTGGTTGCTTGTTACATTCATCATTGCATTAATGTGTTCCTGTCTCGACTAAGTACTGTTGGGACTACAAGGGGAAGATTCTTCAAGAGCACGACGGAAAAGTTCAGGACCATTTGAATAAGATGTTAATCACCTAAAATGAAACTAGAGGGCAAAAAATTCAGAAGGTAGTGATGTCGTGAGCATCGTTTCGTGTGCAGAGGTATATTTCCATTAGTCTCGTAAAAGGAGGCGGGTTTGCCCCGAGGAATGCAAAGATGACAAAAGAAACAGCGCACAGACCGAAATGAAACCGAAAGATGCGATAAGGTACAACTGTATCAGGGTTTTTTACATTCGCCGAATGTCCTGCTCGTTTTTGTACTTATCCAGGGCCGGTGTACCAAGGTGGCTCCACCATTCAAACAGCATGGAGTTGCAGATAAGCTTGAACCAGGGGGTGAATTTCAACCCGGGCTGCTCGAACATCGCCTTAAGCTCATCGGCTGAGACGTAGGTTGTGTCTCGGACCTCGTTGGGGCTGGGCTCCAGATCGACATCGACCTGGATGAAGAGGATGTAGTCCACTGGCAAAATGTCAGTATTTCCCATTACCAAGTTAGATAAGGATTGTATAAAGTAACATACCCTCGTGCTCGCCCCATTTTCCATCACTGGGGGCTTTATAGTGAATTCTTGTGAAAAATTCAAACTTGTCCAAGGGTACTTGCTCTGCCTTGATGCCCAGCTCGTGGTCCAGTTTACGCTGCGCAGCGCGCTTCACACCCAGAATGGCAGCATCCAGCTGAGCTCCAGTCTCGCCAGGAATTCCAAGCGGGTGTGAGCAGCAGGTGTTCGTCCACATGTCGGGAAAGGTGATCTTTTCGGTGGCGCGCTGTTGGAGCAGAAGACGCTTCTTGGAGTCGAAAAGGAAAACCGAGAAGGCGCGGTGAAGGAGACCCTTGTCGATGTTGGTCATCAAATGACCTATGCAAATGCGACTATCAGTATTTTATTTCGCATGTTGCACCCGCCACTGCCCCGCCACTCTGTATTTCCATGGGTGGACATGAGGTTGTAGAACGTACAGATCTTCTTGCTGGCGCTTCCAATAGGCCGGTCATTATTATCCAAAACAATGCAGACCTCGTCCATCAGACGGACCTGCTCTTCATCGTAGCCCTCAAGCTCGCTGCCGTGCGCAGTGTTTGTTTGGCTTGTGGGGAGGACCTCACGGGCGAGCGATGTATCAACCTCGGGAAAAAGAGTGGCAACGTTGTCCGCCGTGATCTCAGGCGGACTTGTGGTGGTCATGGTTGCGCTCATTTCGGCTTAAGAGGGACGTTGAAGGAAAGTAATTCATCCCAACAGAAAGAAAGCGGAGAAGGAAATGCGGCGCGGCGTTCGTGTCAAAGGCGGCAACGATCGGCAAATCTGCTCTCCGTTGTTTGACTTGGGGAAATTCGAAGGGACTTTCCAGCGGACACTGTCTACCCAAGAACTACCTACACCTATGGTGTTACGCAAAATGGCTATCCAGTGACAAAAAACTTGCATTGATGGTAGACCTATCTGTATGCGAATAGTATCAGAACCTGCGTCAGTTCGTACCACCCAGTCGTCATGGGTGTCAAGATAGCGCTCTGATCATCTCAGTTCAAGGAGACTAGTCAACTTATTCAGTTCTGCAACTTCTTCTGGTCCCAAAAGACCCACCTTTTCCCGCCGAGTTGGTGTATCTGGATCAAATACAGGCTTCTCAGCGAGTGAAGTCACCCGTGTCCCATGTCTAGGCTGGGATCCCTCATAATCCCAGCTTGCGTTATGGATTGTGATGCTATTGAAGAATCAGCTTCAAATTCAAAAGATCTCTTGAGGTATTGACTAACCGGTAATCCCACGTTGCACTCGTGCGTGGAGTCCACTTAAAACCAATCTGAATACCAGGGTTCTTCTCATAAACGTTGTATAGGTATCCCAGAATCACATCACTTTCGGCCTTGTCAAGCCCAACGATTCAGTCTGTCATAGCACGGTTCACCCACAGTGCCTTCCATCCTGTAACTGGATGCACACAGACAACTGAGTGCTCGCGCTCCACGTAACAAGGGCCTGCTTCCGGGTTCTTACGGTCGAGGTATGGGTGGGCTGAGCGGTAGATAGCAGTCCTTCCGTCGAGCAGTTTGCGGAACAACGGTGACAGCTTCTCGTATGCCGCGTATCCACTCGCCCAGAGTGTATCACCTCCGACTGTCGGTACTGTGTCGTTATGGAGATGGGTCACTCCGGCGGGCTGTCTCTCGTGCACGAGATCGCTATGCCACCGGGAAGTTCCTCCCGGCCAACGGCAGCTCGCTGGTCTCTCTGTTTCCTGCAATGCTGGCCACATTACAGTCACGCCAGGGATGCCAGGAACATGGGGCACTTGAGACTAAATAGAAGAGAAATACAGTTGGTAATTGGAACATGGATTTTCTGGATTGGATAAAATATACATGAATTTCAACCTCTCCGAATCTCTCTCCCAATCCTTTCTGTTATTGTGGGGTGATAACCTGGTCCCGAAAGAAGACAACACTTCTTTCGGCAACCAACAAGCCTAGTTCATCCTTCTGTTGGTCTGTCAAATCCTTCAGCTGCAACCCAACAATTTCAGTTCCGATGTGCCTAGTCAAGGGAATCACTTCCTTGGCCGCGGATAGAAGTGCTTTCTTCTCTGGATCGGCTCGGCTGCCGGGGTCTACATGGACGCGATCATAGTCCCGCACGTTGTTACCATCGTCAATCTAGAGAGGACGAGATGATCGGTATGGGTAGCCGTCACTGAGATCACTCCCCGCCTTTTCTATGTGTTCTCGTGCAGGGTCAGGAAGACCGAGAGTGTCTCTCTTGAGTACTGCGACATCAACCATACGTGAATCAATTGGAGCGGGAGCCATGATAATAGATAATCGTTGGATTTGTATCATTCCTATGAGTTTCGTCTACTATATGCTCTATAGATATTTCGAAATGTCGATTCCCTTGTTGATCAACGTTGTACTCGGATTAAAGCACATCATCGTCATCACCCATTACGCCTTTTGTGGGCCAAATGTCACTTTTGGTTATCTCCATACCCACACCCCTCTTTTAGGGTTCGATGTAAATTGTGCAATCTACACTTGCCGTGCAAGCGGGGAGCCCCCCGATGTCACAATCTACGATCAAAATCACGAGGATTTCGAATCTCTGACTCTTTGCCGGTTTTCCCGGGGGGCATTGCGATATATCAGCCCATTTTGTCGTTTGGGAGGGAGGGGGGCCATAAGTGCTGGAACAATCCACGTAGGCGCGGATCATCTCTCGGCTTTTTTCTTTTTCGTTCTTTTTCTTTTTCTTCTTCTTATGATAATCATCATGAGTGAGTCTATTCGAGTTGCTGTCATTGGGGCTGGTATCAGCGGAGTGGTTACTGCTGGCCATCTTCTGGCTGCTGGAATCCAAGTGACGGTTTTTGAGAGAAACAATGCATCTGGTGGAGTGTGGTAAGGATCTTTCTATACTGTTCTGGAATGATGGACTAAAGCATTGTAGGCTGTATGATAAACGTGCTCCGATTGAAGCCCAGTACCCATCACCGAGACCGTCAGCTTCACAGGAATATGTGAAGGATGCGAGGGAAGGTAGCGAAAGAAAGATCTTACTTCATGCACCTCCAGGGTAGGTTTCAGCTTTGAATTTTTCCTCTTTTTTAGACGGCAGTTTATGCTCACTCTTTCACAGCCCTTGTTACGAAAGTCTCACCAACAATGTCTCCACCCCTTTACTAGAGACAAAACTCAACACATGGCCAGAAGGGACTGGTCCGTTTGTAAAGCATCATGTGCTTAAGGATTATATCCAAGACACGTCGAAAAAGGCCGGTGTTGATGATATTACCAAATTTGGCGCCCGAGTCACGCGAGTTCACAAGGACGGGCCGACATGGACGGTTCACTGGAGTACTTTGAGCGAAGGCCAAGATCCCGTGGAGAATGAAGAGTCTGCAGTAAGTTCTCATCTCTATACCAAAGTTTGGTAATTTTGTGTTTTTTTTTTAAACAAAAAACAAATTATCAGAAGTGATTTTGACCGGATCATAGACTTTTGACTCGGTCATTGTTGCCTCAGGTCACTATCATACGCCTCTCGTCCCAAATATACGGGGTCTACCCGAAGAAAAAGCTCAGTGGCCCGAGAGGATTTTCCATTCAAAGTCTTTCCGAAGGTCGGAAGGATTTAAGGGAAAGGTAGGAGTGAACCCATTCTAGCATGGAGAAGCACTGGGCTGACTAAACTATAGAAGGTCCTATTACTTGGTGGAGGCGTCTCTTCTCTCGACATAGCCACTGAAATTAGTGGAACCGCAGACCACGTGTATCAAAGTACTCGAAATGGTGCCTTTGATCTCCCCGCAAGTGCACTTCCTGGAAACGCCTCGAGAATTGCAGAGGTCGAAGCATTCGAAATTTCTACTTCGACATCCACAAACACCGGACACTTGCCCTTGACCGTACATCTCAAATCCGGGGAGACCTTGCACAACATAGATACAATCATTCTTTGCACAGGATACCAAATGGCACTTCCGTTCCTTGATGAATATAACGATTACGGTGTATCTGCGGCCGAGGCAAATGACCAGGTGCTTGTTACAGATGGCACTCAGGTCCACAACTTACATGAAGATATTTTCTATATCCCGGATCCCACGCTTGCGTTTGTCGGCATTCCTTTCTACACTGCGACGTTCTCGTTGTTCGAGTTCCAAGCTATAGCGGTGGCAGCCTTCCTATCTGGGGTTGCGCAGCTTCCATCTACTGCGAGCCTTCGGACGGAATATGAGAATCGTATTAAAGAGAAGGGACTTGGACGGAGCTTCCATTCACTCAAGGATCAAGAGCAACCTTATGTCGAGAAATTAATCAAATGGGTCAATACTGGGAGAATTGAGCGTGGATTGTCGTTGATTGAGGGTCACACTCAGACCTGGATCACCGAGAAAGCAGCTTTGAGCGCGAGACTTCAGTTGATCATGACAGGGAAGCTTTCTCGGGCAGATCTTCTCAAACGCCCTTTGGAGGTGGGAGTGACTGCATGATGAGTATGAGAAAATGGAATTTGAAAGATGTCAAAAGACACCGTTGTAGTATGTTCAATACCATCTGACGCCAATTGGATTAGATCGTCCAAAGTGATATGTCTTCAATTTCTTCAATTATGGAGACTCCATGAGCGAGCAACTTGACTCATTCTTGTGGCGAAGCTTACTTCTAAGCCATCCCCCCAGGTAGCTAGCTCTCTGTCTTAGGCGGGTAGGACCTTGGTCCCTCCCCATTGTCTTCTCTTCCTCTCTCCCTCTCTCTCATGATAGATAGCTCAATCCATGATCCCAGGATATTGGTCAGTAGTGAGTAGGTGATCATCTTTTCAACGTTCACAATCGCTTTCTACTTAAATGTCATATGCTATCATCGATGCGGGGGGGGGGGACCTATCGTGCATCATTCTACTAGTCAACTCGTGATTGACACAGAGTGGCCTCGAGATGTTTCCTAGGACAATGTTCCCGCAGTTCAACATTCTGCGCTCGTGATGCTAGAGTAATTAAATCTCTTGACAAGGAAGCTTTAAGCAATCAATTTGATGTTTTTTTTAAAAAATAATTTTCTTTCAACATTTTCTTTCGAGGGATTACCCCATTGCCGAGGCGCATGACGAGCTTCACACGGGCGATGGTGAGTTTCTAGTGTGAAATGGCAACATCAACATCATTAATTATCCCCGAAGTCGGCAAGGTTCCAACCTGCTTAGACCTTGTGTTTGGAGGATGATGTTGAAAGAATTTACAGGAATTGCGCAAACTAGTTGTCCAATCATTCAACCGACAGTGTATATCGTATACTCAGTGCGGAGTATAGCCTTGAGAAACCTGAAGCAGGATTCACTCGGCCCTAAGCCGGCATTTTTTTTAATGCGGATAAGAGCTCTAATAATTAGCTACTAGGATGGCCCCGCTAAGTTAGGACGTCCTTAGTATGGATCGGCTGTCGGTCTTAATCGCTTTTCTGCGCTATAAGAATGTTCCAAGGGTGCTAAAGTGTCCTTGTTTTTTTTTAGCCTTGCGACGATATCACCATGTCATTGAAATCCCCTGCTGAAGCGCATGTCGATCCAGCGACGCAAATAATTCAGAAAGAACCGAAGCGCAAATGGGTCAGCTACATTTGGGACACATTTGACAAGTCACCAGAGGAGCGTCGCTTGCTTTTCAAATTGGATTCGGCCATTTTAACCTTTGCATCGTTGGGTCAGTTCAGATGAACGGTTTCTCCCGGATGATGCTAAAATCATTCTAGGGTATTTTATCAAGTATCTGGATCAGATCAATATCAACAATGCATTTGTCTCTGGAATGTATGGTGCCATGTGGATATCCACCCGTGAGAGTCTGATCCTAACATCAAACTTGTAGGAAGGAAGATCTGGGCATGTACGGCAATGAACTCAACTACATGCAGACATGCTGGAATATTGGATATGTCATTGGAGAAATCCCCAGCAACATTCTCCTGACTCGCGTCAAACCGCGATATTGGATTCCGGCCATGGAGGTACGACGTTTGGTTCCCTTGCACAAGAGCTCTCTGCTTACACCGTAAAAGCTGCTCTGGACGGTTCTCACAATGTCCCTATCCCGGTGCAATACCCCTACTCAGTTCTATGCTTTGAGGTTTTTCGTTGGTAGGCAGGCACAACCTAACAAGCACGCACTCTGCTAGAGTTGATTGTTAACATGGCACCCCGACAGGTCTCGCTGAAAGTACTTTCTATCCCGGAATGCAATACATTATCGGCTCATGGTACCGGAAAGATGAGTTGGCAAAAAGGTCATGCATTTTTCATACGAGCAGTGGAATTGCCAGCATGTTTCTGGTTATCTGATGGAGGCGGTTTACCACCTCGGAGGACGAGGGGGTTTCAAGGGCTGGCAATGGTAAGAAAAGTGACCGAATCTCAAATTTCGGTCATAAGCTAACCAAGATCAAGGCTGTTTATCATCGATGGGGTCATTTCCCTCCCCGTGGCTATTAGTGGGTTTTTTATCCTTCCCGATGTGCCTGAAATCTCCGATCCGTGGTATTTGAGTAAAGAGGCACGTTTGACCATTTCACCCTTTTGATTTCGATGCATTGACTTACCGCCACACAGGAGGTCAATCTCGCCCAAACACGAATGAAATTAGAAGGACGACGGAACAGAGAGCCATACACAAAGTCAAAGCTGAAGAAAATCTTCTCGTCGTGGCACATCTATCTTCTAACGTTACTTTATGTGTGAGTTGAAGATCTGGTCAATCTAGAGCCAAACGGCTCACACCCTATCAGATGCTTCAACAATGGTGCCGCGGGAAGTCAGCCGATCTTCCAACAGTAAGTAAGATCTGGACACCACCATTTGGCACACTCTGACTCCTGAAAGGTTCCTTAAACACTCCAAAGATCCTGTATATTCAATCAGCCAGATCAATTCGATACCAACCACCACCCCAGCAGTTCAAGTCGTGACAACCCTCGCTTACGCATGGATCTCGGATACTGTTCTAAACGGCAGTCGTTGGCCCCCGGTTGTCTTTGGTGCTGTGAGTCTCACCCAGCCCCATCAGGAAATGTAGAAAAAGTTCTAATACTATCCTAGTGCGTCAATATCATAAGTTACGTCTCACTGGCAGTTTGGGACATTCCGATGGGATGGAAGTGGACTTGTTACATTATCAGCGGGGCTGGATTCGGACTGAGTGGTCTGTTAATGGCGTCAGTCTCGCGAATTTCCCCGACAATTTCAATGGCAAATATCCTAACACACTTTGTAACAGCTGGGCCCATGAAATTTGCTCTGAAGATAACGAAGAGCGCTCCTTGGTTATCGGAAGCATGAACGAAATGGCTTATGTTTTCCAAGCCTGGCTGCCTCTTGTTGTATGGCAGCAAGTTGATGGCCCGGAGTACCGCAAGGGCTTTATCACTGTCACCGTTTTGTCTGTCATCTTGATAATCAGTACTTTCGTTGTTCGTTTCCTCCACAACAGAGAGAAATTGAGACAAGGGTAAGTGTGTCTTGGAAGTCAAACGTGCCTTTTAGGGTTGTCCATGACTAACTGAGGTCGGGGGTGATGCAGGAATCAGATTCAGGAAGCAGAGACGGAAGATCATTCCTCGGATTCCCCAGGAAGGATCTCGATTGAGACTAAGCCTATCAAGTCTTGAGATAAATAAAGTTGTTGACTCCTGTTCCCTGAAAGATGGGTCACGATCCCAAATGGAGAATCGACGACGGACAGATTGGGCGGGTGACCGAAAATGCATCGAGAACTTCTACAGCAATTATTTGGAAGAGAGAAAGACCAAACAACTCGACCCTATTCCATTGTGGAGCTGGGGCGTGATATGTATACAATCACAGTATTGTTCTACAACGTATGGTGGTGAGTTTTGACAACTTAAGATTAAGCAAGCAGCTGTTGTGTGTCTTTTGCCAACCGGTTTTCTCAGGTGCATCAGACCAGGTCTTCTGTTGAGGGTGTTTCTTTATCCCAGTAAAAGCTTTCTATAGCCTGTAATCCGTGCGGGGGGGGGCTAAACTACCTAGCAGTGTGATGAGTCGTAGTAGTTCGTGTGAGATGTGACTGAGCATTCACCCATGCTAATGCCCATGGCGCAAGATCACTTCATCGGACATCCTGTTCTTCCAAAATCTTCAAACAAAACCGCAGTAATTCGACCCGGTTCAATGTAGATTTCCAATACCAGTTAGGATTGTCCTTGCATAGGACCCCGATGGACCCCGATGCTGGCATCTATCCCCAATCAGCAAAAATGAGAACATCATATTGCAAGCAGCCTCGGAAGATGACCGGGATTTTCTGATCTCCAAATCCTAATTCAGGGGCAGATTATCCGAACAAATCGATAGGTCAGGCTAGGAACCCGTGTGCCGATTGCAAAGCCGTTGGCAGGACGGAGTAGTGTTGGTGGCGCTTCACTAGTGATGGGATTGACCACGCATATTCCCCCAGAAAGAAGAGCGACCACATTACGGGACTGTGATAGCCCCTTTGAAAATAGGAGCCCCATCACAAAAACATTGCGATAAACTGTTACGACAGAAGGATTCCTTTGTTCCTATTCCTGTTCATTGCGGATACGGAGTACGGAATAGACCTGGCATATTAGAGATCGACATTGATCCCGTTAGGGAATATTATCGAGCTGGGACGGTTCATCTTTTGATTTTTTTTGTCGATTTTTTTTTGTCTCTTCTCTTCTTTAAACGTGGGGTCATCGCTCCATGGAAACCCTAGGGATCTGCAAGAAAGAAGCGAGATTTTGAGCGATGTCGACCTAGTGAATGTGCTACATTCTTTCTTTCTTCGCGTTGCTCAATCCACTCACTTCTTTCGGGACAGGAAATGAGTTATCGAAAGTGTACTAAGTGCAAACGCCTCAAAGCAACCTGAGGAGCCTATCGTCCGGGATAAGATGACTCGGATTTTCGGGCCCACTGGTCAAAAAAATCTCAGGGGCAAGGATCAAATTGGCAGACACCGAACACTTCTACATTAGGCACCGATTTGGATGTAGCTTAGGATCACGGACCATTTTTCAGATAGGCGAACAGACGCGATGTCTCGTGCGCGGCTGCACCGGAGGCCCAATTCCAAATGGTCCAGTGTTGTCTTAAGTCTCCACTTAAGACGACTAGCTTTGAGCAGCAGTGGAGATAGCGGGGGTGGAATTGAGAAGTACGGAGTAGACAATGGTGTGAGTATTGATTATTGCTTGGAGAACAATTGAACATACGAGAATAGATTTCCGCTCTATCCTCTCCTCCCCCCCCCCCCTCTCCCCCGGTGATAGCGTGTGATTGAGCAAGGATTATTAGATTGCAGGAAGAGGTCAGTGGAAGTGAGACATGCCCTGGAATACCTCAATGTAGAGCTTTGGACTTGCGTTTTTTTTTTTTTTTTTTTTCCCTGGGCTTTGCAAAATACGAGAAGAGAAGAATGATAGGTTTCTTAAGAACACTAAGAGAGTTAGAGTGGTTTCACACCAGTCTCGCTTCAAAGATCGTCGTGAATTTCTAAGATCCCCCCCCTCTGGGGTTTGGCGTGTGATTTGGCGTGTGATTTGGCGTTCTTCGGTGGAGCGCGGCAAGAGTCGAAATCCAACGGGCCTCGAGGGGGTCGGAGAGGGGGAGAAGGGGGGGGGGGGTTAGGTTGTTGAGAGGAGTTTCCTTGGAGGTTCCTTGGGGGATCCCTCGGTCCCTCGGGGTTCCTTTGGAATTCCTGTAAATTTCTCTTGTCGGAAGTGGAAATAAGTGCTATTTCCACGCAGAATCCCTGAATCCTGTATGTCCCTTTGATCTGGTCCGAATCGTTGGTCTGAAGTCAGCCTGTATTCATCAATGTGGATGTTGTACTGGCCCAGAAAAAGATTCTGATATTCAGGCACAATCCCTGTCTTGAAAATATGCCGATCTTGAGCTACGAGTGTGGTATTGGATCTAGTGCACTACGGACAGTCCTGTTACCCGCGCGCCAGCTCATGCGGTTGCATGCTGATATCATATTCGAAATAGAGGATATGTATGGGGTAAGGTATCATCAATATAGCCAAATGAGATGAATTGAAGCAAGGCAAAAAAAGGAAAAAGACCACCTTAGACACAGTAATTCAAAATTCCAACCAAGATGCATCGCATAAAAATCCAGCAACAGCAAGGAATTGGGACTTCAGGCCATGTGCGATGGCTGATTCCTAATAGGAACCTCGCATCTCATGACGCCCTGTAAAAGAAAAGCAACTGTAATGTGGCTCTGACCAGCAGACCCTATAATGGCAAAACTATGCATCTCGTAACAATCATCGCCAATGTAGATACTGTCCCCCCCCCCGATATTCATGGCAACGTGGAAACAGTGGATCAGCTGTTTGTGCTGTTAGCTAGCTAAGCGGCGGTGGTCCAACACCCGCTGGCGCTGCCTGGGCATGAGCGAAGAGGGCTCAGCGTGACTGGTAGACCTCGCAGCGTTGCGGTGCTTCTCTATACAATCATGTCTATCTTGTGTTAGCAAACAAATAGATACCCGACGAGATACGAAAAGTCTGGGACCGTACCGAGCCAGACTATCCTGGCGACTGAAACGCCGATCGCAAGTGTCACAGCTGTACCTCCGAAGTCCGAGATGAACCTAGAGGCCTGCGTTAGTATCTGCTTCTTGAGCTCCTCTGATCTTACTACTGACGGTGTTCATGTGTCTTTTGAGATCAGAGCTTCGGCCAAAAGTCTTGTGACAGTCATCGCACGGATGATTGTTCTTCCAGTCAGGGTTGTGCATCTTTTGGTGCTCCTTGCAGTTGGAGCGTCGAGTGAATTTGGCGCCACAGATGGGACATTCCAGGCCACTGGCAGACAAAAGCCTGTCGTTGGAGGAGCCGCGCTCTCTTTTGCTCAAATTGGTGAGAGTATCAGTCCCTGCAACAGATGCTTGCGGTTGCAGCATCACTTGGCCAGTGTTGATTATTTGGCCGGGGGATCTGTCGTATCCAATCTCCTCTCCCATATCCCCAAGGTAGGAGACTTTGTTGACTAGAAATAGGGGCATTGCTGAGGAAATGCACGCATCTGGAAAGACACTCTGCCCGCAGGGTCCTGCGGCTGTGCTCGCTACAGTGACCGAAGTAACATCCGATGGCGTCGTCGAGCCCGAGCAAGGCGTGTGCATCCAAATGTCGGTCATTTGGCCAGGAAAGACATTCTGACCAGGGACAACCTCCATGGTAGGGTTGTAACTGGGAGATGCACTCATCGCCGGGGGGCTGTAGAATCCCAGCGAAGTCTCCGAAGCACTGCTGACGAGGCCATTGTAAACTGGTGGATAATCTGTTCCGCTGCAATAGTCGTCATAGGATAATGCGAAGGTAGGAGTGGGCGCCCCAGAGATTAGTTGTGATGGCAGTGTAGGCGTGGGAGGGAAGACGCTTAGTTGACCGTATGTGTTCTCGAATTCGCAGCGGGAGATCCCCAGACCAATAGGAGAAAGCCCTGCTTGGGATGAGGGAGCGATAGGAGAAGAGTATACCGAGGATGTTTCTCGAGACCGTATATCCTCTCTTCGCGGGGATGTGATTGAGGGGACTAGATTCCGATTCATGTTGGTGTAGAGAACCAAATCCAATAAAAAGAATGAGAAATGTAGATGCTCATCCAACCAACCAAAGGGCTCTATATCAGAGTGAACAAAAAATGGCGATAAATCAAAGAAGATATATAGTAAAGGCTTTTGGGTCAACAGCTTCGCTGTTGGTGATTGATAGCGGCAGCATACATCGGTGGCTGAGAGGAGGGTAGTGGACAAGGTACGAATTCATTGGAGAAAACCTTGCGCCGCATCGACACCGACAAATGTTGAAGATTCGACGACTTGACGCCGTAATAGACAAGGCAGACTTGAAGAGGAAGGGGTCTGTTATTGCGGTGGAAGAGAAAATCGGGTTGGGGGGTGGGTGGCTCTAAGGGCCGGGGGGTCAAGGGTAAAACGAGATCGATGGAAGTCCAGGTCTGGCATATGTGCACTCACAGAGAGTTAGCCCCGGAAAGATCAAGATAGACTATGTCATAAGCACCTGGGGCAAATCATAGCATTTGGAGACTAGTTTCGGGCACTTTTTAAGGATCGAAATAACCCTGTAAGAACTGCTAGTACAACAGAAGATGTGACAATGCACAACGGCGGCTGTTGGGTTTGTCCGGAAAAGGCTAACCATCCCTTTCACCACAGTTGGGCTGGTCTGCCCAACCGAGACGTGTCCCATGCAGGCAGTAGCCATACATAAACATCAGGAGAGCCCGAGTCTCTGGATCGGCTTGGCGAGATACATTGTTGTGTACAGGGCCTGTTGACCATGAGCACAGCCCGCATGATGCTGAGACGGATGGAGACTGTGCTATCTGACGAAGTCCAGAATCGGATATGAAGTTGATCAACGTTTCCACAAATAATTATCGTGACCTCAGTAGAGCATGCGGCCCTTCCGAACCGTTCGATCCCTTTGGCTTCATGTATACCATAGCGCGGAAACTCCACATCGACTCCACAGGAAATTGACGCGCCCCCAGACAATTTTTAGCTCTCTACTCCGTACTCCATATGAGATATCTGAATTCAACTTCACCATGATCTATTTCCTCGCTTTCCCTTGTGGGTCGAACATGAAATCGATTGGAATGGAGAGCCAATCTTGAAACGCCAGGGGACCGGGGGGGGAGGGG